TCGGCGGGCAAACCTGGCGTCGGTATAAATCGACGACAGACTTGACCTCCCGATGTGTCGCCCGTGCAATATGCAATCAATGGGAATCCATCTTAATAATCCCCGAACATGGAGTGCATTTTCGAAAGATTCATTTGATCTATTAGTGGCCTTTTCAACACTTTGAAATGATTACTCAGCTGTTGCACTCTCATGCAAAAAGACAAGATAAAAACAATATAGGGACGCTGCAAGAAACATGATAAGTAACCTCTTCTTAGCCAACTGAAAATTAGATTTGATGGTTTGGTGTACAAACATAATTTCATGAGCAGTGACAAGGGTCCATTGAAATAATTCATGTAATGATTGATGATAAGACTATACAAGCCACACAACTCTAGGGGCCTGGTTTGTGCTGCGGCCACTTCTCTGTTGAGTCCATTTATTCAAAGGTGATTGAGTATTCCTCCAAAAAATGCGCCAAGTTGACAAGCAGTTTGGCAAGGCTCGCATTACTGTCCTGATATTCAAAACCATTGTGTGAAATTACTCATTATAGCAATAATTCTATATGCTCTGTATTTATACTGTAAAGGTTATCATGCATCTGTTTCAATTATATAGAATGCTTGTACTGACTGCCTCCGAATTTCGCATCTTTTGTGAATAAAACCCATCAGCTTAGGTAGATTTTGCCTACCCCAGGAGATAATATGCGTTCACCTTGAGCGGTAATGTGACTGAAGCTTGTCAACTCCGATACAAAACCTAGGAAATAATTCATAATTTCCAGGTAAGCTTACAACTACCAGAAATAGGCATTATAAAGGCAACCAATGAAGTCAATTCAAACTGCTAATTCAAACTGTTAATATTGATAAATTAAATGTAAATAAATAATGCTGGACTATTACATTATGACGACGTGAATAAATACTCGCGTGACTGGTAGACTCATCACTTAAACCTGCAAGCAAATTGCACTAATCCTCATATAAACTCAAAGACTCGGAAAAAATTCTTCTGTTAGCTTTCCTCGAACAATTATATATACACTGTATGTGATTACAAGCTTGGTGTTGAGTGGCTCTTACGATGTTCAATCAACACAGTAAGTCAGAAGAATGAGGAAAACCCATCCACTGAGATCATTCTGCACGAAATTTTGTTCAAGTGGTCAATTTTATAGTCCTCGCTGAAAAGCAGTTTTCAAGCTACCCGAAGAATGCGTCACTGCAGTTTCCCCCATCAAAGCCAAGTGCACGATCTACATTACATGACCGCTTCTAGACCCAGGTCGACTTGTCAAGCACAGTGCACGCGGGTCTCAAAATGACCAAACTAAACAGACCGACTGAACGCATTGTCCCCACCATGGCAAATAGCACCGGTCCCCATTTCAGCAATTCGCAGATTGATTTCGAGGACAAAACGGTAAGCACACAGACATCAGGAGAAAATTACACCAGCTCTAAAGGTGTCACTCGTCAGTGAAGTGACTTGTCGCCTACACAGCGGAAATTAATGTTATCTGAGATGCCCAAGAGCTTGTGAGAGTGTCCACTATTATTGAACTGTTAAAGACGTGCTGCGGAGATGGCATTGACACAACCAATACCTGGTATCATCTAGCCTCTGTTTGAGGTGAAATGGAATTCTAGTATGCTATGACTCCCACGAGTGCGGGTCAAGATCCACGAACACTCCGGACGCGTCCCGTGACACAAATAAACAGCAGTAACAGCATGTACCCAAAACATAAAGACTAACCACTTGAATCAGGCACATAATATTATGTCAAACTTGCCAAGATCTAGTTTGGACAGTGGTACACGAAAGATTTCTAGGTACATTCAAGACCTAGGGCCTATACAAATTTAAAATGGTGAGCCTTCTTGAACTTTCAAGTAAATAACGCACTTACATGTCGTACTTGAACAGGTTCATTAAATGAATACTGTTCTAACTGAACGATATGTATTTACTTGAATACACTATTGTTTATGCTAATTTTATTGCCAGATTGAAACCTCCTTGTTCATCGACAGACCTAAACGATCATTACGACTCCGTATCAAAACTGATTCACGATTTTGCCGGACGTTAACACCGGTAACAGCCAAACAGCTCGTCAAGAACGTAGAGTTGAAACGACAACCGCTCTCATTTTTATTTGGTTGAGAAAAACAAAGCATGGTTAAGAAGATCACATTACAAGAGACGAATCGAGGGGAGTGATACCCACTGTGGCGTAATGGGAAGTACTATTAATGCTAAAGGGATCCACTGTGGCGTTTTCCAGAATTCTAGAGTTCACAGAGATTTATCCAGGACTTTTAACTCTGGGCAAATTTAGTCAAGGCCAAAGGTTCCAAGAATCTACCATCCGTCGGTAACATCAATTAACTTCTAGTATGCATGCAGCGAGTGCAAGAAAGACAAGACACGGAAAAAGGAGTAGATTCCAGTGATTTTGAGCAACCATTTCTCCTGTTGCCATTCGAATACAGGGATGCCACACTGCAAAAACAAGTGTTCTTTTAACGCCTTTTAAAGCCTTCCTGGTAACACTTTATGAACGTGTTGTGCTGTTAATAACCCAAAGCTGAACACGTTGTGGTGTTTATTATTTTAACAAATAATGTTGACATGTTAACGAATTCGACTCAATGACACATTTTGTTGTTAATGATAAAACACCAAAAAACAAAAAAAAAGTTTCACCGGTGGTAACAGTTTCTGTACACCGAAACACGTTTATTGCCAAGAAGGTATTACCTGACTCTATAGCCAATTAGTCGGGCTACAGGCAAATAAAGTTGTGTCTTGATATGACTTTGATGTCGCAAGTGTGGTATGAAGTGCACACAGAGCGTAGAATAGACATGCCATCATTTTATTTCAAAAAGAAAACAGCATCGCGCTGTTGGATATCTGATGGAGGAATACCCGGGGCAAGTCGACGCTAATGTGAGATTGCCATCCGGCCTCTGGAGATGAAGGTAGAGTGGGAGATTAGGGGCATTATCTGTGCACCTAGATTTGTTCCCAAGGGACATAATGGGAATTGTAGTGATCAGCATAATGGTACAGTAATAAGGCAAACCCCAGTAGTCTGTTATCAACCAGACATCTTTCATGTTTGCCTCTAGTAATGCGAATACGCATCACCGAAGTGCCTGAAGTATTCGCCAGTGCCTGGGAAAACATCCCTCAGGAACTCGTAGACGGTCGGTGATGATTATGGTAATCGAGCATTATATAAATCTATTCTATATTAAAAGGAACGACCGGTATCAACAGATCGTACATAATTATGCTGATGCGTTCTTACTGGAGTCCGTGGTTGATTGGTTTGTCCCCGTTGCAGCCTATGCATACCCCGGCGCATGGCTTGGTTGACCGGACAACGGAAGAAATCTCTAGTGCACTCTATCAAAACAGTGCTGTGTTGGCGGCAAGGGCTGTGGGGGGGGTATGGTTGTTCGGCCTGGGCTGCAGTCCGCCCCTTGAAACTGGTCACAACAAAAATCTCCCCTGAGGTACGCTGCAATTTATTTTTTTTTTCACTAGGACAGACGCTTGGGTAATACCAAGATTTACACCTTGACACATGACTCAACAAAATATAGTTTTATAAATGTTTCTACATTTTAGCTTAATTTCCATTTTTCTTCATTTGCCGCTGTTAATGTGAGAACCGCTCATAGTTTTGTGGGAGTCACAAGTCCAACGATCCACAATTGTTAACTCTAACTGCCCAGCGAAAACAATAAAATCGTAGGATTGCGGACTGTACGGTTAACAAAGATCTACAGTTAGGATTTGGGGTCAGCTCGTACCTGAGTTAACTCGTGCCCTGGTCAACTCGTACCCTCGACGAAAACATACGTGAATTTTGACCCGAACGGATTACGATTGTTTTCTTCCTATTTTACCCCAAACGGATTACGATAATTTGTCTCCCTTTGCATACCCCGAATGAATTACGATAACTGCTCTTCCCCTTTTCCTGTTTTTCTCACTTTTAAGACGATGTTAGATGCTAGGGGTGTTTATTCATCTTATATCATTAAAATGGTAAAACTTGCAAGTGTGGTCCCACAAACGAAATCTGGACGATTAATTTTATTTTGTTGATGACTTTATTAATATGACTGGGCCTGAGTAGTACGAGTTGACTCGTATACGAGCCAACCTGGGTGCGAGTCAGCTCAGGTGCGAGTTGACCTGGGTACGAGTTAACTTGGGTGCATATTTTAGGGTACGACTTGACCGGGGTACGGGTTAACCAAGGTACGAGTTGACCCATTTCGACACATGCATGCATAAACATCAACGTTGATGCAAGTGGTAGACTTGCACGGATAACACGCAGTGTAGCGACACAAAAAGGAATTGCCTACTATTATATAAAAATTGACGAGTTTAGACAAATTTAAAAAAAAACTTTTAGTCCAGTTGCTAAAAGTAAGGATATTTTGTTATAAATAACATCGATCCCTCATATTACAAAATCGAGGCCGAGCCGAGATTCAAAATGAACAAAGTAAAGTATTTCCATCCAAGTGCATGGTTTTAAAATGGGGTGTTCTCTAGGAGGCTTGTGATAAGTAAGTTTATACTAGTTAACGTGTTTCAAAATGCCTTTACAAAATTTACAAAATTGAAATGTACAGATGTGTCTGGTAAGTTGTTAAGCAGGCAAATGACCTTTTGTTGTCAAACGGAACTATTTCTCTCACGGTGCTAACCCTTTGTAACCTAATAGTACAGAAGATTTTCACCATGAGTGACACTTCGCGTTTATAATTATCAAAAATATATGAAAAGATTGGAAGTCAACGAAAGTGTACACATTCGAACCTCGTTAATAAGAGCACTGCTAATACAAGATTCTGATTACAACAAGGAAAATTTTAGGTCCCAATCCTTTGTTTTTTGATGTTTTCATCTATTTGCCAAGTTTAGAGGACCTCTTATTAACGAGGTTCAACTGTAATGTTCTGAAGGCTTACCACTGATGAGTATTTTGATTGAAGACCGATTGAACCAGGAGGCGAAACGACCTGTTGATCTTCGGACCATTTGGTACCGATTCACGGATATCAATGCTAAGGTTAACACCGACGCCAGGCCATAGACGGATGTCGTGAACCCGTTGAATTGGCAAGCAGCGTTTCCGTACGTCCACCCACTCTGGGAGTCTTTCGACAACACCATCAACACCAGCGGGCCGTTTGCTATCACCGTGAACAGCCCGCACGCGGCCAGGTTCAGGACCAGTGTGTTGGGGACGGAGCGGAGCTTTTGATCGGTCAGAATGATCCAGCAGATGCTGGTGTTGCCCAAGAAGGCGAGAGCAAGAATAATTGCCATCAAAACGACGTGGAAGGGCCCCCATATCGAGCCGTCCGTGGTTGGGTCCCCAACACCTGGTGATGAAGTTGTCAGATTAGCTGTCGTGTTTCTTGGCAATTGCATTTGCTCCATCGTAATGTGCTGTTGCTCCTTTCTACGATGCGAGTTTCTTGCCTTCAGAAATGCTAATCTTTTCCTAAGACATTTTTACCAAAGAGATCCGGGAAAGGCGTAGATACCATTAAAAGATCTTAGCAAAGAATCAACATTTTTAGTGTCAACTCTCACTTCCATGACCAGGGCACGTCAAAATTAATACTACATGCAAAACCACTTCATAACGATGCCTCTACAGAGGAGCTCGCTGTACCATTCAGCTCAGCGAGAAATCAAAGAATCGCGGTTGTTGTGTTTCAACACATGCACTTCATCGTAACCCTATCAGCTTGGGGAGCGGGCAGATTTCACTGCTATCAAATAGCCGGCATATTAAACACAAATGTCGGCCCATTCGGCCGGTCCGCGAGAATGTGTGTTTCGAGTCTCCGCTGCCCAGATTTGCTTCATCGTTTAAGGTCTGCCTTGGAATAATCTTAAGATGCTAAGCTGTCCCAATACCACCAAGCAGCCTCTGTTCGAACCGACAGACCTTGCAGAAGCTGTGTAGAGATGGATAGAGTGCTTCTCGCACGTGATCGGAAGAGCAAGTGTTAACGACGTGCGGTGGTCGTGTGCACTACCTCTCTGATTACGTGTTGAGGCAGCGAAACTCATCGAGCGCGTGTACAGATTTTAGAATCTGCGCGGCACGTGGAATGAAAACTAACCCGATGCGCCTGCGCTGTCTTCACAAAGGTGTGTGTTACTGTATTCGCTCGTTCCCCACCGCCTGTAAACGTGGTGCTGTGCCAAATATTTGTACATTCGTTATTGATCGTCATTCGCATATTCGATGAACAAATTCTAATATTAAATTAGTATCCTGAAACATATTTTCAAAGATATTACGAGAAAACTTAAAGGTAGCTGATGCTTATTATGTCCAACGATAGGGCCAACTTTCTTTTCCTTTTTTCAGTTTTCGTGGTGTGTAATCTCACTATAAAATGCATAAAATTACAAATTAGAATCAAACGTAAGTTGGACTGTAGTATAGGCCCTTTCTTTTCGCTAGAGGACGGACCCATGCCTCGAAACCAAATGAGGTCAACCCCCACACAAACTTAGGCCTACATCAGCTTTTATGGGAATTTGGTACAACTCAATTATTCGAATATTCGATTGACTGGAAGGTGACACCTCTAATATTCAATAGTTCGAAATGACTCGTCTCAAGGGCACCTGTATAATTGCAAGATGCAAGCAGAGTAGAGTTCCTTTCGTGCGCGCGTGCCATGTGCGTACTGAACGTATATGCTAATGTATATCAAGTGACCCACAATGCTTTGTGCGTTTGCAGCCGCATGCATTTCTTTCGTAGAAGTTTGTGAACGCCACTTGCCCCTCCATAGCCCCCTTTATTAGGGCAGTGGTGCCAAGCAAATGATGTGACACAAATCTCTTGGCCGCCGTTGATGTCAATTTATTGTGGTGTTCCGAAAGGCTTTTCGTGGTTACGTCGTTGCTTCACTTGTGCACGATTGACAGGTGTAATGCTTCTCGTTATTAACAGACAAGCACGAATGAAATGGCAAGGGCAAACTGTAGCTTGCGTAAACCAACTCTGTTTCCGGTCATGTTTCCTCATGCAGTTGGTAGCCTTCCCACGATGCATTTGTGGGTGTTCCATTGAAAAGCGTTCCCCAAATGATGTGCTATGATATATTGTTCTCAGGATACTACTACAGGAATCCGCTTAACTACAGCCACAGAGCTTATATATTAGGCCTAGTTAGTAACTTCATCACCCTTTTCAATTCAAAAGGGGACTATTAATTAGCTTTGTTCTGGTTTACTGGTTTCTATTGCCTAGATGATAAAAATTGGCATTTCTGTCGGAAGAGTGGTACATTCGCATTTTATTTCCCAGTACCAAAATGGCATGGACATTTTGTTGCTATATAATGATTCTTTATTTTACAGGCAAGAGTTACACTTCAAAAAAAAATTGCAGTCTTTTCTCTGTTTATCAATCACACATCTTGGCAGGGACTTTGTATTTATATCTTTATTTGCTATTTCAAGTCCAGATGAGGGTGGGTCCTTTCAACGGTTTTGTTCATTGAATATTGATATTAAATAGTGTCGAAAATTTCTCTTTATTTGTAAATCTGATTCATTCAGAATATTCAAAAGTGAAAAGTGACTGCTAGATTTTAGCAAATCATGAACTATTCATAAGTTTAACTCTGCATTAAGACTTTTCAGATCCTGCACGGTTTAATGGTGAGATTTCTACCTTAAAATAAAACTACAAAGCCCATGCGACCATTCAAACTCGTTATATTTAGACTCCATAGATACAGCCATTTTACCTTCAAACGTATTAATCATTTAGTATTACTCTGGTCCGGCTACTGATCAGTTATTTAGAGTGACCTTGCCTCTGTCAACTAATGTTGGATCTAAGGATCTCCAAGAGAGAAGGGGGAGTTAGAGAATACCTACCTGCATTCACCGTTGAGCTAAATGCGATCCAGAATAGCAATTTTCAAATAAAGTTGCCCGTATGCACCTCATGGGCAAGACTGCTCATCAATGCCTCGTCTGTTCTTGTCCGCTCAGTCACGACTTACACGTGCAGTAAGGCTTATCGTGCAGGCCGCTGTACGTGTCTCCATAATTCCTTGCACTTGAATAATTCCGTGGAGCTCGGCTGATTTCGAGTTTCAGCTATCAAAACCTAGTCTGCCATGTCGAACGTGGTCTGATGTTCAAAGTACTTTCCATATTTATTTTGTACTGTGTTTTTAGGGGGGAAATGCAAGCGTTACGGTTTCATCACTTCCAACAAAATGAACACTCCCGGCCAGCATGGCTCTTTTCAACCGATGAGGGGGTGCTTCTGCTCGAGGCGGATAGGGTGTCGTGACCATGGTCGTGACTTGACAATGTGCGCGCCGGCGCGCTCAAAGTAAGGCGTGTGCGTGAATGCAACGGCTCGCAGGAATCCAGAAAGAGTAGTGCAAACGAATGGAGTACACAGGCGCAAAAGTTCACACGCTGGTTCTCACACCAACGCTTTTGACACGCATTATTGAGTGCGCGATGTGGGCCTATTCACTTCGGTAGAGCGGGAAAGTGTATACGTGGTGCTTCTCATGGTTGGAAAAGGAAATACATCCCTATAAGCTCACGTGAGTTTTAACTGTTCCATCCCCTTCAACATACGCACTTGCACCCCCTGTCGTTTTCTTATGAGCGATATTTGCTTAATTGTAGATTTTAAGGAGACGCCACTCCTGCACGTTCTTTAGCGTGCTTTTTGCAAATACCAATACACATAATAGCTATTGGTAACATGCGCGAGGCGTGCCACCTCTCCACGAGCATTAAGCAGCCGTAGTAATGACTTTTAATTCTGGTTATCGATTTCACTACAATGTTACTCAGTTTTATCATTTAATCCTCAACTGTGACACGTTTACGTTCACAAGTTACTTCCTTTCATAAAAGTTTTTGGTCTCATGCTACTTTGAATTTTCAGTTTAGAAACGTATAAAAAATGGCACCAAATACGTTCAAACTGGAATGTCTACCTCTTTTGAAAACTTTGAGTAAATTGGGTAATGGCCAGGATGTGTTTTTTTTTCCTCCGGGAGTGAATCCCCCTTTTATTTTATTTTTGTCTATTCTATGAGACTTTATTTCTCAAATAACCCATCGGCAAGAATGATGGCACCATCGTGAGTTGGAAAACCATTTCATCATCTTCATTGGAAAAACGAATAAGTCATACGCTGCTTACGCTGAGATAGCCTTGTAGGTAAACTATTCCTTTGATAAACAATCTGTAGCGAAACGCTGGGGTCGGTCACCATGATATGAAAACATCTTTCTTTGCTTCGCTGCTCACGCCTACAAATTGGGAGAGCTACGGAGGGCGGATGCAAGCGTAGCAAAAAAGATTTTTATGCACTGCTCTTTGTAACCAGTATCCACCCAACTGCACTGCTCCCAGGAAATTTGAAACTGCTTCGATCCAAATGTGGGTTGAGCAAGCAAGCGGCCACACAAGGAAAACATCTTCAGGATTGTCATGGAAACCAGCAGATATCCAGTTTTAGCTCCGTGTATGCTTGGCTGGCCTATCACGCGGGTACTGACAGTGGGGTGTCTCTGCCGTGAATGATGGAGATTTTATGGAAGCTGTTGTCGTTTTATTTTAATTGGACCTCGCAGTGGAGTAGTTTTCGTCAGAGAGGCGCTGTTAGCTAATATCTCTTTAAAAGGCCAGGAACTGAGTCACGATCTCGTCACAAAGCTCGTCACAGAGCACAAAAGTCGATCAGACGCTGTGATAAGGCAACATTCCCTGTGCCTGGTAAATTTACATTTTGTGGGGGGGCTACCGAAGTGACCATTAAGTGTTCATTGTGGCCTGGGCCCTGTGCATGAATTTTGGCAGAAGGGATTCTACGGATGTGTGGCAGGTTCCTCGACTAAAAAGCTAGTTTGGAGCGATGAAATGGGGTTATTTTGGGATTATTTATTTAGAGAATGAGCCATGTCGGTATGTATCTCAAAACAGCAAGGTCATCCGGGAACAAAGCTCGCGCGTAAGGCCGCGCAGGGCCGCGCTGATAGGGTGGATCACTCACGCGCGTCCAAATGACCTTGGGTTCCATTTTGGGCGTGCGATGTTGGAGTGCCGAACTTGTTCATTGTTACAGTACAAGTGATCATCAACTAAAAGTTAGCGGTGAAACCAAAAATTGAGATATCCCGTTTAGCTCGCCCTCCTACGAGAGTCTCGGATGTTGCGTCAGTAGCTTCAGCTGAATATTAGGGTGCAGTCCACTAATTCAAGTGAGAGTTTTTGACCAGCTCGTTAGCATTAAAAGTTCCCCCACAACATCTTTTGAAAAAGGAGATTGTTTAGGCCCCAAAATGATGAGATTGTTTAAATCTTTGCCAGGATCAACCCTCAAGAGCAGAATGGCTACTAGACGGTTGAAAAATGGTCCTAAGTGTCCGAGAAAAATGAGGGCTACCAGCAGACTTTGTACAAATCACTTTTTGATTGCGTAAAATGAAACACAAAAAAATGAAACACAAAAAAATGAAAAACAAAAAAATGAACCACAAAAGAATGAAAAGAAAATAACAATTAGGGAACAGACAATACTTTAATTTGTGTTTCAGAAACTTTAGGAATATTGACATGCATGCGATTGGGCCCTGAACAATGCTGATATTACATTGTTTTCAATGGGGCATGCATTAGTGGACTGTACCGCACCCAGTAATCAACGCTGAGCCGCCATAGTGCAGGCAGCACTGTGCCGTTGGGGCGGTATACTAGGAGCGGAATTTTCAATGATTTTCATGAGGCATTCATTAGATCAGAAGAAACAGCGATAAATCGAATTTGCTCTGCAAAGAGTTGTATTCCATTCCATCCCATCCTGCGAATGACTTATTTCAGCGGATGAGATCAGTTAAGCGTTACAGATCAATTCGCGCAGATTCCACTCGAACCTTGAACAGTTTTGATCCAAGTGCAGTTCGCTTATTGAACGTACATGTACAGGTGCAATCAAAGTCCTGATCAGTGATTCATCAGATTTTATTGTTATCTTAATCCCATTTTATTTAATAATCAATTGTTATTTTACCTGATATGCTGTCTGAAACTATTTGTTGTAATTCTGGTGTGAATTTTTGTAGCGTCGGTTATTATTGTTTTGTATATATATTTTGATTATCAAGTTTTTAACGTTCTCAAAACCACACAACGAATTTCAATGTATTCCAATAAACTATGTTGGATACAAATGATATTTAATAAATGAAACATCATTTTGTGGAATAGAATTTGCCACTTCAGTAAAAGAAAATTGTCAAGGTATTCGACGTACAAACGATGCAGAACATCCTCACTACCTTCATCTTATGCTTTAGTCTGTAATGCGATACCTCAGTCGACGTGGTCCAGAGTTTGTTTCTTTGTTTTGCTCCAGTCTTAGGTTCCCAAGAGAAATACAAGAGAAAAACCTCAGACGAAAGTGCACGACGAGTGGGAAAAATGGGAGCAGTATGATGATTGATAGCAGGGACTAAACATGAGCCTGAATATGTTAAAACCAAGAAATTCGACAGCAATGGTTTTAATGCACTTAACATCTTCAGGTTTGGTGATTCCCATCCATAGTGATTGTTGCATTCAATTGTTCACTTGCAAATAAATCTCTCCCTTACTAATCCCTTGCCTAAATTATAGAGATAAATTACTTTAGGAGAATTAATTGAACAGACAGTGAGGCACTCTCTGGTATATATGGGGATTATTAACCTTTTATTAATTTTCCTCGCAGGAAGAGTGGAGATGGTTCCCGCTGTGGCAAGAGTCGTGTTAAGAAGAGGTCATAAATAATGCTTTGCGGTATCAAACAGTAACCCTTTCCTCATCAGTAGACAACCTTGAGATCTGAATGTTCAAAATGATGCAATAAATTATTCAATTGTTTCTCTCCACAACCCAATCAGATAAATTAGATTCGGTTCTCTAATACTCGACAAACTTCACAAATATCTAACAAACTGCACGGTAAAAAAGGTTTTACACTTGAGGCAAAATAACACTTTTCTGCTAACGTGTATCTCCGATTATTCCATCCCACTCATTTCTATTTGAAAATACGCCTGCAAGCGGCATTTATCAAATTCCTGTCAAGTGGACTCATCGAAACCACAAGGCCGGACGCGGAACTGACAACCCTACGTTTGGGGCGTGGCCATACTAATGCGGTTTACTACATTGTCGGTACTGTGTAGATACCATTTTGGGAAAACATGTATGTCGTATCGATATATCCGGAGTCGATACTGAGAAAAACCAAGTGCAAAATCGGTACACTGTGATCAAAAAGGCTCAAACGGGAAAGGTTCAGCGTGCGCGCGTTTGACACCCAAAGATAAATAAATAAATAAAACACAAAACATCAAATTTCAAGAAATATCCTCTTCGATCCGATTATGTTAAAGCCAAATGCTAAACAAAAGAATGCACTTGAATGTGCTAGTTTTTCTGATCCACATGGAAAGCTCCAGCTTTCTCCCATTTTGTTTGTGGCTATGTTTTCTTCTCTTTTATTTTTGGATTGGTCTTCTTTTCTATATTTTATATATTTGTTGTAATTATGGTATGTGAATTTGTCTCTGTAAGAGTTGTATTCAAGTGGTGAATAAAATCAGTGCAATGCAGAAGAAATACTAAAATTTAACAGCCTCAGTGCGACTTATTCTGTGCATGTTATTATAATTACTGTTAATCATTTCTGGTTCTGAACAGCAACGATTCCTCAAAAGCACCCTAGGCACTGTAGCTCACAAGCTTAGCCTGAAGAAACCTGTAGAAAGGAGACAGAAGCAGTTAAAGATTTAGAGGTGGTAGCAAACCCCAGAGGAATATTCTGGGTAAAACCCACGGAATCAGGTATGGACTGAAAACCCCAATCCACATGTGGACCAAGCCGGGATTTGAACCCGGACCGCAGAGGTACTTAAGCTGGAAGGCGAGGAAACTGAGAAGCCTGAGCACTCCGTCAACCTGACTCCGGCGGACACGACATGGACACGGCGTACACTTCAATGCCGTCCTAATAGTATTCGATACTATGATTAATCGTATTCTTAAGAGAGCGGGATTTTAGAACCGCTCATGATCGATGCACATGCACATTACAGTTGATACGGTATAGCAAGTGGTGCCTGAGCCGTCAAATCACGTACCCAACGCGAACGTAGAGCAAGAACACAGACTTTGCTTAAAAATGGTAAGTTTTGAACCTCCATCTCTCTAGTTCACGTATTCAGTATCGAGTGTAAATCTGCATATGTATTAATAAGAAGGTATTATTTTCTCCTTTGCAGTCGCTCTCAGAAGAACAACTAACCGGTAAGTGTCCAAATTATCTTCTCTTATCAAACATGTCGAAGACTTCGTTGTGATGTGGCTAGCCTATGCCGCGGTCATGATGGTCATGATGGTTGTGGCCATTCGAAGCCTGAAGTCATCATGTCATGGGCTCCATGGTTGGTGTCAGTGATGAGTGCGAAAAGTGACAGGCCAACATGGCTGACAGAGACAGGCTGACAGGATTTCTAAAAGTTTAGTTAGGCCTACATTTATAAACCATGTAAACATGGTAACGTGGCAGTGGCAAATGAAAGAGTGATACTCCGTGTGTATCACCGAGTTAGTGACTGAGAGTTCTAGAATTTGGCAAATAGGACCTACCGAGAATACATTTGCCACTTTTTAACTGCATGTAGGCTCGACCATGTAGTACTGTAGGCCTAGGCCTGCCGGGCCTAAACAATTTTCTCTTTATCGTACGCGTAGGGCTGAGTCAATTTGAATAATTCACTGTTCAACTATTAATTAGACCCTCAATTTTATTGAATGTCCGAATATTCAGTTGTGCAGACCGGCAGATGTTGATGAACAAACCATACACAAAGTCAGTTGCTATAACACATACAGTTGTTCATTATGATCAATATAATTGCTTCTCACATCTAGGAGTATCTCCAGCCACGATTTAGCAAGATTGAAGAGATAAACAAAACTTCTTACCATGTTGAAATTTCTATTCCCTATAAATTGTTTGATGAATAATTTACTTTTTAAATCAAAAGCCTCCCTAGTGCAGTGCAGTATTTCTCATTTAAAACAAAAGAAAATTTTCCCTTTCTTTATGAATCACGTCTTTTAACATGGTCGGCGATAGTATCCGTCCAACAACCATTCATATGCCTTGTCTACCATTAATTGATTTCACATAAAATGCTCATAGCTTTTACCCCAAGTCCAAAACGGTCCTTAAACCATGTAAACTGTCTGATATGCCCACTCCAGGATTCAGTTGGACTTAGCCCCACTAGTGTGGCATGGACTCTCACTCCCGCTCCATCCTTAGCCACATATCCGTATATGCAGTTTCGTGTCGGCGTACTGAACATTTTTGGCGCACCCACTTATCATCGTGGGCGCAATTTCTTTTGCACACAGAGATGATCCTTAGCCTCTCCCTTTTCTTACTGCCACTTATTGAATGTTTTCACTCACTTTATTCTGGTATTTTCCAGTCTTTTTGCCTTCACCCATTCAATCTCACGGGCTTGCTCTCACAGTTGCCATCTTTAAAATAAGGTCGTTGAACATTACTGCTGCCCAAGTTTTGGAAGAGCCCATTGTTACATGTAGTATCTTATCCCTCGGTCCGTGTATTAGATATGTCTTGACATGGAACAGCCGTCGAGACGATGAGGGGTCAAGTGACGTAATTTTCAATGACCTTATTTTAAAGATGGCGGCTCCGAGAGCGAGCCCGTGAGATTGAATGGGCGAAGGCAAAAAGACTTGAAAATACCAGAACAACGTGAGTGAAATCATTCAATAAATGGCGCTCAGAAAGTGGAGAGGCTAAGGATCATTTCTGTGTGCAAAAGAAATTGCGCCCACGATGATTAAGTAGGTGTGCTGAAAATTTTCAGTACGACGACATGAAATTGCATATACGGATATGTGGCTGAGGATGGATCGGGAGTGAGAGTCCATGCCACACTAGTGGGGCTAAGTTTGAATCAGCGATGATGGTGGTAATGTTTACTTCCATGTACAGGTACATTCGGGAAGAAAAGATAAATTTTCCCTTCAAATCGGAAAGTCAAGCTTGAAATCCAAGTTGCCAGCTTCTCCTTTTTGTGCAATTCAAACTGCATGCAAATGACAGGGATAATATTCGAGATGTCGCGACACACCGGCCAAGCAGACCATTCACAATAAGCACACTGTGTCTGCATGCGCATGCCAATGACAGTTTGTGAGCAATGCAAAGTTTGTTGTCCAACTCGATGTAATCACACCTAACATTGCGCTGCTCACGAAACAGTTGTTGGTATAGACATGCACAAGCCTCAGACTCAATTCTGTGTGGTCAGCACTAATCGATTGTCATTCATTTTCAATTCTTGTTTAGAGTACCAGGATGCTTTTGCCCTCTTTGACAAGAGGGGAGATGGCAAGATTGAAATCGGTCAGCTGGGAGCTGTGATCAGGGCAATGGGACAGAATCCAACCCAGGCTGACATCAAGAGATTTTCCCAGGGCTACTCTAAAGGTTTGCATTCTGTTCCATTAACCCGTACCCTCCTCCAAAGTCTCCAAATTCCTCTGGGCGAGTTTGAAGGATTTTAGAGGATTGAGGCTGGATGGGATAAAAAGGTGTGGCGGATAGTAGAGAGTGCATTGTGTCAAGGTCCTAGGTTACACTTACCAATGCTTATTCTCCGTCATGCATGAAGTTATGCCTATGTACTTGTTAAGCAGTTACACTTAATCTTCCATACAAGTACGTACAGGATACGTTCACGCTGCCTCAACATAATGACTGCATTGCTGGAGGATTTTGTAGGATTGAGACAATGGTTTGTCCGCTAGGCATTGGGAAAATTTGAATTTGGAAGGATTCAGGATGCATCAAAGCCAGAAGGGCTTGGGGGGGTAATGATTGCTGAACAAACGTCCACAGTCTTGTAGATTTGGCAATGATTTATGGAGGCTGTTGATGCCTGTTGGTCCGCCAATTGTTGAAGTCAGTCAAGATGTGCTTTTTTGCGTAGGGGAGTGGTTAATTACTTTGTGGATGTTAAATGTGGGATAGTTATTTTACCTTTAGTACTTTTCCCAATGCCATTGGGAACAAACATCTCAACCCTAAGTCCTTAAACTGTCTTGTCAGAAACTATAAAGAAGGTTACACCATAGGTCAAATCCCAAAATGCGACTGCAGAATAATCCGTGAATATCATATTTGGAAGAAAGTAAATAACAGCCTTTGTCAATCTGTTAAATACATTTTCTGCCCAGAGTGCTAATATTTTCAAGAAAACAGGAATTTTATTCACTTTTAACAATGGTCAGTGCCTGCTTGGCCAACAATGGCTGCAGTTTCCGAGCCACACATCGAGAGAATTTTCATGAACAAAAACCAGGATTTTCAGGACGTTAAACCGCCCACGTTTCCAGACACTATTTCCTCTGTAACCATAATTATTAGTAATCCGAGAATGGGTTTCAGACTTGCATTGACGTGTAAACTGATGCAAAAGTGTGGTCATGAAGCATAATCACACACGCACATGTACATATACTCATCTTGTCATGGACACAAGTCGACTGCAGTAATCTCAAAAGCTCAATTTTTTTCTGTAAATCCACAGAGCTTCAATTTTAAAGAGGTGCATTACTTAAGATAAATTCACTGATTACTTTTGGCTGTGGAAAACTGCTTTTTTTAAGGGAAAGCGCACCTGTCATGTTCGTTCATCTGCAGGTGGACATCGCTCGTGTGTTTATTGCACTCTCTCCGAGTGCCCTCTAGGTCATTGACTTTGTGCAAGATAAATCAAAAGATCTCCATTTGGCTGTTCAAAAAGGCCCCTGTGCTTTTTTTTTTCATTTTTTTTAAGCAATTTACTTGAAAGCATATGCATGCAACAGGGCAATGAAATAAAAGCTGCAGTAAATTTTCTACCCCTAAATCAGCCAATCTTGTAAAATTACAACAAAGAAAGGTGTAACCTCTCTTCAAGGGCCATGCGGAATCCCCCCACCCCATGCACTCAAGCTCAAAGTCAGTTTTACCTCATCTCTGTGAAGTTTGGGAATTCTGTAGTTATCTCTTGCGTGAGGAGCCTGCATCAAGGCTAGCAGTTTATGATGATCATTTGTACAAATCAAACGTGCTATTATTTTTGTTTGAGTCCCCCGTACAAGCGGTGTCTGTCAGAAGAAAATGAACTTTTAAACAAGTCTAACGGCTGCCATCCATTAAGTTTGCTATGATGCGTGCGCCATCTTGCGTTTTTATTGTGGTATCGTTACACTACTGTCTTAATAGATGTGATATCATGACACATCTGCAAGGAAGGAAATGGGGCCTCTGCCTAGTCTGATACAAGTTATTTGAACATGTACCATCAGTACCAAAGGAAGACTGGACTATAGACTTGGGCATGGATCTGTTTTTAGTTTTTTGTGCGATACTGTATCTTTGTTGAGTTTAGGACACAGCATGTCAAGCTTCACGTGCATGTTATTCACTTGCCGACTACTGCTTATAGAATGCCGTGTTAGACGGGGTTTTCGATCTCAAGCCTCACGGATCCCTTCAGTGGAAAATTAAATGCGCTCTGTTTTTCTTGTCTCTTTTTTTCTTTGAAGTAAATCCAATTCTTGTAATACTGTGATTTCATCAAAAAAGGCATTGTTTAGCAATTTCAGGCTGCTGTGACGTGAATATGATGTTTTAAAATTTCCCTTGTCATTTTTTGTTACACCTCTGAATTGAATTTTTCACCAATTTAATCAAAACCATGAGTGTCGGTCCAGTCCTGCTCCGAAAGTTGAACGATGTGTGAGAACTTGATGCATTGCAGTATTGGTTTATTCTAGTTGGCCACTCGTGTGTTTTCTCAAAAGCAGTACCTTTAATTCTAAAACACATTTTTGGTTGAGAATCTGCATAGTTCAGCAGACATTATGTTGAATAACTTCTATGGAGAAAAAAAGTTCGGATTAATTTCAACTGTCGACAAAAAAACTGCAGTGTTCCAACTGCTGATCAAAATTGTATGTCAGTTTGTCTAAGGGCCCGGTCACGTGATAGTTCTGAACCAGTGGGAAATGAGTCTTGTCTATTTGTGTCTAGACATGTTAATTTATATATGCCTAATTTAGTTTAATATATGGGAAAGTTGTCAGTTTAGACAGCACCTAGACTGAAGATTTGTTTGTTTTGGATGATATTTCGGGAGCTGTTCAGTTTATTTTTTATCTCATCTCCTTGGATATTAATGTTTGTCTCTTGTTTTTAATGGTTTTTTTAATTTTTAAATTGTAATTCCTGAGATACAAAGTAAATGCTGATGTACACGTAGAGTAAAGGTTTTTCTATTTTCTCTTCAGACCACCGAATTACCTTTGAGGAGTTCCTGCCTATCCTTGCCTCCACTCAGAAGATCAAGGAGCAGGGAACTTCAGAGGACTTTGTCGAAGGTTTGAAAGTGTTTGACAAGGACGGTAACGGCACCATCAGTGCCGCTGAGCTTCGCCATGTTCTGACCAGTCTAGGTGAGTCAGAAAAAAATGATAGGCTTTCATTAGAACCCATAGCAGAAGGAAAGAGTTGCTTCATCAGCCAGGATTCATGAATTCTCCCCCCCCCAAAAAAAAAGTCATGCTGGCCTTTGGTAATGAAGCGTTTCCAAGCTTTTCAGAAACTTGTTGATAAAAAAATGATGACATAAAGTCAGGGTGGTGGCATGGACACATTTAACCCAGGCCTCACTAAAAGGAACAAAACACTTTCATACAATGCAGCTACATGTACACACTGCTATATTGGGCAATGTCTGGGCCTACCAGACCTATCCCCACAGAATTAAACACTTTACTACTGTTTAATTCTGTGTGGCTGGGGGAAGGTTAGGGTTAAGCAAGTCAGATTGGTCCACCTTTTCCCTTAGTTGGCTGGGTGTATTTGATGTTTTTTGTCCTCATTTACCCATTACGTTTTGGATGTAGGTTCAGTTGGATTTCAGGTCACTAGACGAAAACCCTTTTCTTTTTTTTTTTTGGTGGTTTTATTTCTGCAGGAGAGAAAATGACCGACGAAGAGGTGACAGTTATCCTTCAGGGTTTGGAGGACTCACAGGGACACGTCAACTATGAGGGTAAGCACCAGTAATTTTTGGTTCTTTGAATACAAAAACCTGTTCAGTTTGCAGTCCATATCCTCAAAATGTTTACTTGACCTACTAAGGGACCTCTCAAAACTATGACTGTTAAAATATTCCATTTGGAGTTGTGCTTGGTCAGAAAGGGTCTACCCCAATCCAACTCGAGCAGCTTGGGCCCACTGAGTGTCCCTATAATAGGAAAAATGGTCCGTATCCCTGAATTTGTCATCAACTTACTCCATGATGAACATCAAGGAAACAAAGTCTCTTCCCAATTGGCCAGTTGGAATGAGCTATCCGCCGTGACTTGAAGCATGCCCTGGTTGGCACAGAAGAGATAGATTTCATTCACACTTGAGCAGAAAATCTGTCGTGTGTGTTCAGCACAGCCCACACCAATCGCACATGATCCTTTGTGTGCATGCACGTACAGTGAGCTCTCACCATGGGACCGCCGTTTCTGTGTAGAAGCACACCATTTCTTTTCCATACGGTATGGATTCCCCAAAATTGATCAGAAATGCTGTGTATTGACAGTTGTCAACTCTCCAACCCAAGGCAACGAGGTTGATTTTGTGGGCACAGTCAAAAGTCACAACTCATGAAGTGCCAAACCCGAGTCCAAGTCTTTTCAAGTAATTTGCTGAATTTAGAATGTATATAGCTAAGGGCAGGTCCTAAATGACCCTCCAGAGCAACGGCTATGACTGCTGTTAGCATGTGTCCAAGCAACTAAAAACCTGTAAGACTAGAGCTTCATGTTACTCCTTGGACGTGGCTCACTCTTCATGTCTCAGTGAAATCCCATCATGCAATTACAAATCAACGTCTAGGGGTCTTTTTGTCTTTGCTTTTCCAGAGTTTGTGAAGACGGTTATGAATGGCTAAACGACTGCAGGTGAGTTATTGTCCAGTGAGTCATGGGTGATCGGTCCACACACACACACACACAAAAACTGGATTTCGCCAAGGTTGCAACTTCAAATGCACTTGATGTGCACCTGTGCAGAGTGCGTTTGATGTATACTCTTACTTTTGTGTTGTAAGGACAGCATTCCAAGCTATGCATCCCTTGTACAGTTAAAACACGCTGTGAAATACTGCAAATAGTCAATTTGTGTCAAGTATCCCACTGACAAGGATCTGAGTCATACAGGGGGTTTCAAAATTCATGACAGACAACCTGTCCACATCTGACTGCCGGTAGGTTCCAGAGCCCTACTGACAGGTTTTAAGAAATTGGGAACATGCATACGTTTAAGCAGAGGTGTCTGGAAAGTCACAGCTCCTAAATGTTTTTCTGCAAGTTGGTTTCTGTTTTGTCAGTTGTAATGAAACAGACACTTCTGTATGATTGGATCCTTATCTAGGGCAAATAGTTTGTAGAATTTGTGTCACCAAATATCGCTGGATTGTTCTATTTTGGTATCAGAGCCTTGAGTGGTCTTCGACATTACGTATACATCCTGTGTGGCTTAATGTATCAAACGTACACATTGTAAAGTCAGTTGGTAGTTACATGCACGAGGTGTGCACAGATGCATGGAGGAATCTTCCATGATCAGTACCATGCGTATCTGGACACCGTGGGATGTGCCGGAAACCAGTTAGAAACAGTCTGATAATGATGGTTGATGATAATGTGGTTGGATTTATCGTTGCATTGATTTGATCCTTGCAGTAAAAACAACTTGATAAATATGAAAGTCTAGTTGGGAGCCATTACTAACACTTACATCGAAGGCTTCAAGTATCACAACAGAAGTAAACACCAGATTTTATTTTACTGGTTTCGTTTCTGAAAATCAAGTGTCAATCTTGTTTCATTTTCAAAACAAATTTAATGCGAAAAAGACAGCTTCAGAATAGAAAATAATCAGCCAAAATGATTCATGACAAAAAAGGTGGAAACAAGTTTGGTCTTCGGATATTTTCCATAGATCTTCCAATCTGCCCTGAATGTTACTTTCTCATAATGCTTTTGGGACCTGCCTATAATACGAAGGCAATTATCATTTTAACTAATGTTAATTACTTGTACTAACCCTTTTTTAGCCAATAACTTAAGCAGTGTGCATAAATGTGCATAGTTTTGTCATTCACAGTAATTATAATCAATACTATGACATGTACATGAGGCATATGTAGTGAGGAGTAGATATTTATTTGCAATGTTCCCTTTTTAGTAACTCTGAATTTTTTTTGGCTAAGATCTTCTCACAATCATGAATTGTTCTGTATTTCATTAATTTATTCAACTGTTAGGTAGAACTTTCAGTGCAAAGATATCTTAAATATCAATCAACATTTGACAGGCTGTGATAAATTTATGCTGCGCTTTTTAGTTAGAAATAATTCTACTCTGCTAACTAAAAGAACACAGTAAATGCAGTCAGATATCTTGCTTGGGGCCACATTTGCTGTGCTTACAACTTGCAGCATATGAACCTGCATTTTGGAGAAACTGTCACGGAACACATATCTCTACGTGGACAAATGTTGCATGTAGGGCATCAGAAAAAAAATCAAAGTTTTTTATTAAACTTGTATTCTGCATTATGACTAATCTCTGCCCACTCTATATATTCATCCCGGCATTTTCACCACTCCTACTTGCCGAAGAACAAGATGCAACTCATTTTGACCTGGTGATGGATTTTGAGAATAAATTTACCTGGATGTTATATTTCCTTCGCGTTGAAGCTGAAAGTATTTCTTAGCAAAAAAGAAATGTGCGCATTTATGCAGGTACTTGTTCATGGATGTGAATAAACGTTGTGAAAGTACTCATTCGAAGCCGGTTCGTTTTATTATGACAACAAAATTACGAACTCGGGTGGGAGCCAGTTAACAAATTGTGTTCCTGTGGTATTTTGATCACAAGTCTGCACTCATCTTTCTATCATTGTAATACACATTCCTACACTCTTGGAAAGCATTTTGGCTTTTTGCTATTGTAGAATAAATTCTTGTAGAAAAACTGTAGAAGGCTACATGTATTTTGTGTGTCGAATTTGCTGTGTTCCAATTCCTTTTTAAGGGTTTTACTTGTTTAACAATGAAGTACACAATCCTGATATTCACCTTAATGCATTGGGTCGTTTTGCTATGAGTTTTGGGTTCTGTCATTTCTTACCAGGCTCACTTAGTGACTCTGACTTCTTGTGTCGCCAGTCTGCCTTGCCAGCTGTTTCATTGACCCGCAACTGCGTGTGTTGTCGGCAGGATTTTTCGAGGGAGGGGATAGATTTTTTTCGGGGGTTGGAGGCAAAACATTCAGCAACAGCAAACTGATATACCATTACCGGTAGAAGGGAATTAATTTTCAAGCCAATTAGTGATTGTCATCCACTTCCCGCCTTTTTTTCTTTTTCTCCCTCCTCCCCCCACCCATTTTTTTCTGGGGAGAGGGGGACTCGCGAATCCCACGCTTGACAGCGAATCTTCAAACGGTTGAACGATTCTGGAGGTTGGGACGAGTACCCTGAGTTGATATGCGTGTATACCTACGATCTCTTGATACTTGTAGTGGACATCATCAGACGGGTCAGCCCCAGTTAAAGCGGTCTACTGTCGATAATCACAGAAGTTAAGAAACGCAATGAAATCATGAGGTGGCTTGGATGTAAAATAAACGGCCACTTGCTCTCATTCTTCTATTGATTCAAAAACCCCCGTCAATCGATCGCCAGGTACCCACTATGTACAAAACAAACAGCGCAGCGCGTCACACGTCACTCCCCGATACAAAAGCGTTCCCGTCAACCGTCTTGTTGGCTATTGACGGTGAGACGGGCAACGAGCTAGAGCCAGAAAGAATGTTGAAATGACGGAGTGTAAAGGCCAGAACAGTCTGCATAAATGACAGACTAGTCGATGTTGCGATTAACGATGACTGACTGTAGATAGAATCTTATGCCGACCTAGATTATGTTCTGAAAGGTAAGCATGATTGTTGCCAATGTACCAGCCAACAACTCTGTCAGTCAAATAACTTGCCTACGTCGTTGGGCCAACGTCGCTTCCTTTCTAACAGGTAACTCAATCAGTTTAACTTGTATAATTATGATAACGTGTCATTTTATCCTTCAAATAGCAAAATTAAGAAAATCCTAGGTTTTGTAGTAGTAAACAGCTAGCTAAGGAATGCAGGTTCGAACAGATATTCCCGCCCGGTGCCCATAAGATTTTTGAGAATTATTGACACTGTCTTTAATGACATCAAAGATAAGTGATAAATATAGTTCATGCATTTTTACAACGATATTAACATCTCGTTTCCATCCTAGGATTTTGCTCATTTATAATCCGTTCAAAAGTGAAATGGCACACGCCCACGCCTCCCCACAATAAATCTTTCCACAAGTTGTGTAGCCATGCAGTCCGCCACGATTATGGGTCCATATGTGTTCCCTTCGATCCGTGTGCACTTCGTTCATTCGTTTTCGGTGTGAAAACGAAAAACGACAAGTGAAAAAGAAGTCGTCCTTGTTTTTCGATTTGAAAAAAAAAACTTCTGATAAAAAAAAGAGTTCTTTCTCGTTTTTCCATTTGAAAACGAAAAAGGGGGAAAAGAAAAGAAACCATTTTTGTCTGTGCATGCATAAATTTAAACGGTACACGAGACACGAAAGTAATTTCTTCTAAATTTCATTTTACGTGTAATTCGATTTTCGCCTTATAGGCTGGTTCCCCACCGTATGTTAATAATGTACGGCAGGTAGTCACTGCATCCTTACGTAATGACGTCAACCGGAGGTGCAGCAGGCAACATAAATGAAGTTTTGCCAAAGTTGAGATCATTATGCAGAAAAAAAATTGAGTACAATCATTTGCAGAAGTTTACGACCACTTGGAACTCTGTTGGTATTTCTGTCACTGGACCTGCATTATATTGTTTCACTGAACGATGACGTAAGATTTTTTTTTTTACAGTGGTGATAACATCAGAGTCGTGCTATGAACCCAGTTGCATGAATTTTGTTGGAAAAGCAGGTCTTGTATAACATTTTGTCTGTAAAAGAAGGGGACAGAAAGCCAGTCTAAGTGATCAGAAACAAAGGAGAGCACACTAAATAGTAACGTTTCAAATCATGGAAATGTAATCAAATAGCTGTTTAACCAAGATACTAAGGTTACACACTGAAAATAAACATATAAGTTGCCATGATTGATTGGTTTAAATTTGGTTTTTCTTCATGTTAAAGCATTTTGTAATGGGTGGTCCTAAACTCTTGCAAATGACTGTAGATAGTATCGCCAGCGCACTTCCTACAAGATAAACAGAGATCCCGGAGGATGTGGGTATATATCCCTCACACTTTTGGGGGGGGGGGTTACCAATAATTATAATCACCCCCCCCCCCCTTTAAGTCACAGACAATGCGCATCCTTAGCCTGCCCATGCGCCATACCCCCTGCGGGTGTCACAATCTCCCCGCCCCCGCCCATGCTTGTTAGAATGTAAGAAAGTTTTGTAAGTTGCTCCCTCCCCCATCCGCTTTTTATTTTGGAGTCAACAAACTAATCGCAATCCTCTATCTCAGCCATGTATAGAACTACAAGTTCGCATAAAGACGTGTCTTTAAATAGACCCTTTTTCATTTTTCAAAAGTGCATCAATATAATTGCGACGTTACTCAATGTTACATTGTAAAAACGATTCACAATATGATTCTTGTTTTTCGTTTTCGTAAGTTGTGAAAAGAAAAACCACCTGTTTCTATTTTTTCTCACGTTTATGTTTCAAAAGGAAAAAAAAGAGAAAACGACCTTTTTCTATTTTTTTTCACACTCATTTTTCAATCTTCGTTTTTCGTTTTCAAATCGGAAAACGGATAAACGAAACGCACACAGACCCTGATGTCTTTTTGTCTTCACATGAAAACCATTCAGTTCTGAGTGCCTAAGATTTGTTGTTTTTCCAAAACTCTTCTGAAGTTTTGACGAGGTCTGTGACAGTTCGTCACAAAAAACAAGTAAAATTGAAACAACTGACATACAAAAAGTGCTCGTTTATAGGGACGTTTTCGGGGCATGGACATTTTGAGGGACATAAAGATACGAGGTGGGACATTGTCTTGCTACATTAACAACCTTAATCGAGGCCTTGAGAAAGGTCCGTGTGATTTCATTGTTCTGGGAGTGTTTTGGTTTTCTATTTCTCGATAAATTTTGTTGTAACTGTGGTTTCTGTTTTCGTTTGTTTGATTTTTATTTTGATTTTCGATCCTTTTGTTTGTTTGGTTTTAGTTTTATTTTGCCTTCTCAGCATTATTTTTTGTTGGGGGGGGGTCATTTTGGGCGTGTCCGGCCAGGACATTAAGACATGGAGCTAGCGGCACAGGCGTTTTTCCAAGGGGGGGGCAGTTATTAGACCATGGGCATCAGCCACGGGTCGATCCATTATGCCCCACCCATCAGTAGGACCTGCAAACAGTTGGGGGTGGGCCAGGCCCCCCAGTAGGAAAAGTGGCCCCCTCCCCGCTTCCGTCGCCAGTAGTTAGTGGGATTGCTGACTTAACGTACAGATAGGCTACGGATAGAGACAGAGATTACTCTGACGACGCCAAATGAGAAAAAAACTACCGCGAGCGGAGCTGTTAAGTTGAAGAGCGCCACCAACTGCTTAAGTTAATCAAAAGTCAGTTGCGTTGCGTCGTCAGGTGGCTGTCACCGCACCACTGGTCACGGATAATTTAAAAACCGTAACTTTTTGAGACTTTTCCCTTCTCTGTTATTCTCAAGAAACCTGTCATTTAAGATGGTTCGGATTCATTTCAATGTAAGTATCTGATAAACGGGCAACGTCTCGATTTGTTGACCAGGGAAGGCCCTTTTTGGGGAGGCAAGGAGGCGGAAGAGATCTGTTCTGCTTTTGATGTTAACAAGTAACGTTGCAACTGTCATGCACACATTTTTGTAGTTTTGCGTAAACGTCAACACAAAACTTTTCAAATAACGTTAAATGTGTAGAGGGTTTAGCCTAGCCTACTTAGAAAACACTTCAGAATTTCCAGACCAGTCTCATACACTGAACAGGGTGTCAAGTGATGTCCAGACATGGACCGTACTTCTGTCCTTGACAGCAACAGGTTTTGAAGGGTCAAGATTTCTCTCTGACGATTCGATGTCATAAAATGTAAGCAGCTGGCCCATATGTACATGTACAATATTATTTAGAAGAGACTATTCCTTATATGTACATAATACATACACATGTACAAATTTGTGAAGTGATTGCAATTTGAAGTTCCTTCTTTAATCAGACAGGCTTATTTCTCACGACATCAGGAAATCTGCATGAATTTCCAATGCCATGAGCATTGGGCTGGAGTTAGTCAAGCTCTTCATTAAACATTTGTACATGTACACTTGTTGAAAAGATGGATCAATTAGCAGTCTTGCGACATGACCATGATGGGAATGTGTCTAAAACAGTGACCAAAAGCTTGTTCATATAAGTTTCAGAACTTAGTGAAGCAAATTCAAAGTCATGAAAACTTTGCTGCGACATTTTGCTCCAGTCAAAAGTTTTTCAAATTCGTATTATTCGATCTGGCCTCACAAATATTAATTTTATGTTTGCTTTTGCAAGTACGGAAGTATGAAATGGCCTGAACATATGTTTCTTTCTGATACCATTTTCACGTGCAATATTACTAGTTTCAAACTTTGAGGAACATCAGGGATTATATTAGATGTTTTGTGGTTTATCATAACTTATAGTTAATGCCTCTGTTTAATGCTGTCCCACGTCTTATGTTGGTGGGTTCATAACCTTTTTTCAAAGCCCCAGGATGGGATTTTTGTCAGCGGCAGGTTTGCAAACTATGCAAAGGCTACCCTAGGGGTGGCAGGTTTGTCACTGCGAGATTGACAATCCTTACACTTTGCGTGGGCCGGCCCCAGGGAGGGATTCCCTGTGTGAAGGAAAACAAATTGTCCATTCGTTTCATTTGCAGTTACTGTGCAGAGCAATCCAATGACATGGGAATAGGCCTAGCAGTGTGTGTACAGATTGTATGGTGACTGCAGTCAGCAGACACGCTCCACTACATGGCAATGGTACATGTACTTCCCCAACTTGGTCAAATGACCAGACTAAGAGATCGTTGGCTGTAATGTCTTTCTTGTACCATGAAACTATCCCCAGAACTGTGGGGTCCGACTCTGCCCCGCTCTTCCTCGTGGGAGCAGGGTGGACGTCGAACCCCACAGTTCTAGGCTTACCATGAAACCACATGGATTGTACATGTACCTCCACATTTTTGTCGAATACCAGTGTTGGCTTTTAAAGACTTCTTCCCTATTCACATTAAATTGGATCATGATATGGTACCAAAATAGCAGAGTAGTGTGCACTGTTGATGTACCGGTAGGGGGCCTACATGTATACATTATGTACTGATAGATAAAGTTTTAGGGATGGACTTGTTTGGACAGTGTTATGGTATGGCGTCTAGCATCAGTGTTACACATCTCTTTTGCTAACACTGACATGACTATTGTACTGGTTGAAATATTCAAATAATACTATGCTGAGGCTTGTGAGTACATTTAATCACAATTCAAACTTTTACATGTACAGTGATTGTATTTGTATACATGTCGATAAAAATCAAAGATTCTGATTTGATTTGATGATTAAAAATTTACTCACAGGTGTAGGGAAATTTTGAAATTACCCACGATGAATTGGGGCAGGGATCAGGATTTCCAAAAATGTGACCTGTCAGGACAATAACCGCAAGGTTGCATTCCACTCTTTCTTATTTTGACTGTTCAAAGTCAAATATCGATGTGTCCAGGACATTTTAAGGGTTTTTGTAATATTTGGAAAGAGTAACTTGTCTCCTATTTGATTACAAATACCACAGGATCATATTAAAAATGTCCTTTTCTCAGCAATTTCGACGACAGCATTATTCGTGCCTTGTCAGAAATGTTGAAACATTGTCGGAAACAAAGACATAAAGCTGTCCAAATAATGTCACATCATTGCCTTATACTTTCCCCCAAGTGGTCCATGTACCGCACTTACCACTGGAAGGCTCTTTTTCTGCTGAATTCAAAAACACCAAAATCTCAATTTCAAAAATTCTGACTTTCAGCTCATGTTGTGGTGATAGGCCACACATGTACACGTACAACTGTAGACGTGTATTGAGTTGGCTCTGTCAATGCACATGCAGGTTACATGTACGTGTACATTGATTGGTTTGGCCCAGGTGTAGCGAAGTGTGAATTTCTTTGTCCAATCCAGGCAATGGATTACTGAAACATACAACTTTATGGTCCCAGAAGTAATGGTTGTTGGGGGGGTGGACAGTTGCTATAGCTATTTCTTTGAGCTGTCTGAGGACATCAGTGGTAATTTCATGCTGATTAATTTTTTTGTGTGTGGAAAATTTTAGTGTCATTTGTTCAGTCAGTTTGTGTTACCTTGGAGCTATTGACGAGGAGCTCCATGCCGTTCCCTAACCTGCAGTAGTAGACCGCACAATGTGGAGGCCAAGTTTTGGCATTGTTCATAGTATTGGAACCGTCGCTCCATTTTTCAAAACAACAGTGCATTTCTGCATTTTTTCCTCTTCCTGAATTGATTGATATATATTTATTGTAGATTTATTTTTTGGCAGTAGGTGAAACAGAATGAATTTCCCCAACTCCAAAGTTCAAAGGTACTGACTCTCTACTGATGAGTTTAATAGTACATGTATGGTATACCAGGCCCTAAACTTAGCGCTAGACTGACATACAAATTCTAGTCAAAGCTGCTGTGGGCTAGTCAAATGCCTTCTTTATCTTGCCGGGCGGGCTAGTGAAATAATTCTTATCGGTACCTGCTTTAAACTGTCATTTATCTTATTTGTAAGGTTGAATTTGAATACAACAGACATTGTGAAGTTGAGTTTATTAATTGTAAGTTTCGAATCCTCAACTTCAAGTTGTAAAATTGACAGCATGACTCTACAGTAATGGCTGAATAATATTTAGCTGCAAAAAGCCAGTTAACGCTAGTTTTGCGAACTAGGTCCAAAGGGTTAACAGGAATTCTTGCATGCATACATGAAAAAATGAGTTAACTTGCCAGGCAGACTAGTTAAAAACCTTAAGGTCAAGGCCTGGGTTAACCAAAATGAATGATGTCATTTGCTGCATTGGTTTAGGAAACCACACGAACCTCAGATAATCAAGTTATACAGTATTGGTCATGTCAAGTCTGAACTCATGAAAGTGATGGGTTATTTTGTGGTTTTCACTCTAAAAGCCTCATCAGCACAGCTGCTCCAACCTTTCACAGACCTGCAACAGAGACTTGGTATGATTTAACAGAGACTTCATGAGTGACTTGTGGGCTTAAGTTACGAAAAATTGTCCCCATTATAGGCTGTGTTCTTAGCCCAGTTTTGTTACTAATGTGGAAATGATGCCTCTTGTTACTGACTGCTAGCTTTCTGAAATCCCCAGTGTGAGAAACACCCATCTACATGTAATTGCCGAAATGCTTTCACCGGGTTAATTTGTCAAGTGTTACATACATGTATGTAAGTTCAGAATTCATCCGTAGAGACGACAATGGTAACTGATAACTTACAAAATCGGCAAACTTAAAGGAAAAATCACTTATTCTATTGCAGATCAGTAATGTACTGGCACAGGGCAGGTGATTTAGTTATTGGTGCTGCTGCAAAAATTTCAGTGTAATTTTTTTTTCTCATTTTTTGGTACCCTGTAAATCCAGCCACGTGTTGTCCTGCCATGGATTTTAGTTATCCCAAAATGCAAGTGATCACAGCCCAGCAAGCACATGTGTCATAATAGCATTAGGCCTGGCATAATTGTATGTAGTCCAGATAATACTGCCAGTCAGCAGAAGCATAAGGCATAATTGAATTGCTGGGATCCTGAGGCCATGCCCACACACTCCATACCCCCCTGCTATATTATGTTAATGAGATTGAGGCAAGCAGGGGCACTTGAAAGACTTAGCCTACACACAGTGCACACAACTGTACATGTACATGTACATGTACAGTACACTGTACAGTACATTGTACATGTGCATGTGTGTACTGTACATGAACGCACACTTCAGTCCTACACCCCGGTCGGTCGCACAGAAGCAATCTTGCACGTAGAAGGTTCCGTGACAGAAAGGGATCCTTTTTAAAGGATTTCCGCTTTGCCAAAAAAAAAAACCCCAGTCTGCCAGGTAAGTCTTGCATGTATAATCAGAATCATCCTGTCTTCATTGCAGTGACAATTCTCTGCTGATTTTAGAGGCTGTCTGTTTGTTTTTTCTCCTTTGGAGGGAATTCACTGAACCTGTCATCACACAGGTTGTATGGGAGTTGTCACTTATGACACTGAAAGCAACTGTCATCTCTCCTGCGCAATTTTTATTTTCTACTCATGCGTGAAGCAGTCATGTTTTTAGATCCAATGGAATTCGAAAAATTAGCTGTGTTAAATAAAAAAAAGGGTCACTGTTGAATTAGGAAAATTGAGTGGATTTGTCATAGAAAATGTTAAATTATGCATACATTGCACTGTGTGTGGAAGGCCTGTATGCTAGTGCATGTACTTGGGATGAATTTTACCTGTGATTTGAAAATGTGGACAAATACCGGTAGATTTGCGATCAAAATTTAGTACCATTGTCAGTACACTCTGTGTAATGCAAGTAATGTGTTTAAATGCTGGTACAAAGAGAGAAGTATTTATCAGAGACCTTAAAAAGAGCTGCATTAGACTAAAGTTTCCCAAATTCATTAGACATTGATAGCATACATGTAGGCAGATAATTACTGTATTTTGGAAGGCGATTAATGTAAAGATGTCTGTTTGGTCATCTTTAGTTCTTTTTGTGGGGAAAACTTTTTTTACTTGTGTTTTTTTTTGTACATTTAGTCAGTCTTTGCTGCATGGATCAAGTCTTCATCAGTGTGGTAGAATCCCATGGAATGGATGTGTTAATAGGATTGTTCTGTACATGTATGTTGTCATTAGCTTGACTTGTGCATCTTTTCATCTTTGTCCCGTGCGCCTTTTAGCTTCAGCTTCCTACCACGGAATCATAGTTGCCAGCATCCCCCTCCAACACACTCCTTCCTTTTCCTCCAAGATGGCCGATGACACGGTATTCCTACCAAACGATAACCAAGCCTCGATGCTGTCCCCATTTGAGCCAACCCCCGACAACAACGGCCCCGAAAAGAGCATGGGCCAGAACGGGATCGGGGATGGCGGACCCGACCCAATCCCAATGGGGGATGTGGCCTCAAATGGACAATACACGCCGGACGATAACGGAATAGTGAATTCCGGGGTGGACATTAATGGGATGGTTGTAGACTCACAGGGTGAGTGATCGAGTGAAGTCCTTACTTGCACCTTCTCCCTTGATTTTGCCGTGTTGGTGTGATGTGATACTAAACGTTGATTCCACCTTTCCTTTGCATGCTGTGGAAAGTGCAAAATAGCAAGGAAAAATGAACATCTGCATGCCTGCATGTAATAACCTGATTTTGTGAGAAAAAAAATAAGGGGCTGGATCCGGGAGGTGGGGGGTGCATGCCCCCTCCTCTTTCAGCAAAAAATAAATAGATGAAAAAAGAGAAAAAGAGGAAAGGGGAAGAATAAAGAGGTGTCATACAAAAAGGCTCCAGACCCACGCCAACCGGGCGTTTGACCATTTACTGCTCCACATGTACATGTAGTTCACGCCCCCCCCTTTTGGAAAATCCAGGATCACACCCTCCCTTTGGGAAAATCCTGGATCCGCCCCTGACTTTGACAGCAGATTTGATTTGCTTTGTAGTGCATGGCTCTTCAGCATACTGAAGAAGTTTCAACAACTTCAAATTTATTTGAAGTATGCACAATTCCTGAGTTTTCTTACATGATGTTAAAGAAAGAAAATGCTAGAAATGTACATTGTAAGTGTGCGCATTATACACACAGATAACAGTGCGGTCGCTGCATTTCAACAGTAAATTAAACTTTAGTGTGTGACAAAATGCGATCATAACCAGTGGTGGTTTCTCTCACTTTGTGGTGAAGGGGGAAAAAAAATCCTCAAACTAACAATGAACTGCAGCTTTTTGTTTCCAACTGATTGCACTTTTAATAAATGCAACTGGCATCCACAGAGATGACAGTGAATAAAAGTAAGCATGCTCAAGCATTCATTTCTATTCCAGAACTTTTTGTAGTCGTGTTTCAAATCTCTCAAGAACTGCCTTGATACGTAAAACCTGAGTCTGCTATTTACCCTTGAGGAGTTGTTTGCATTTGCTTTTGTGGTAAGACATTAAAAGGGGTAGCGATGAATATGTCTGGCCAGTGATTAAGTCTTACGCCCACAATCATTAAATTAATTTAATTATTTGTCCCACTGATAACATCTAGCCACTCAGATCCTGGCCATGGACTGAGAATGTCTTCCCCAATGCATGGTCTCCATCCTTGAATTTATTTAAACAAAGGAAATTTAGTTAAGAATTACGGATGAGCTGCTGAGGCATGTTCTTGAGCTGATCGTGCAGTGAGCTGCCACTTTTCAGTCTATCTTTACTTGCGTCGATTAGATACCGTAGTGGTTTAAAACAATGTTTAGTTTAGATGAATTTGCAACAGCCAAACTGCACATGATGGGAATTTCCATGTTCTATTTTAGTTTTTTGTTTTTGTTTCAGTGCAGAATTACGGGGAAAGCATGTGGCATAGACTGGTAATATGCATTTGACGAGTGTGGGATAGGTACTGATTAACGCGGAAACATCCATAGCTGTGTGGACACTTACTAAATTGGAGAGATTGGGGTTTAGGAGCAGTGAGCAATGTTACTCACACAGTATTGATTATCCAACACCAAGGATGTCTATGACAACAGATTTCCAAGGTGACATTGTTTGAATTCCCAGGTAGTCATCTGAATCACAGGTAGTAATTCAGATCTTATCCCGAACACTTGATTGTACTTCTGCACTTGCACACTGCATGTACCAGGTGCCCATTTATTTTTTCTTCAGCCCAGTGAGGGAGAAGCAAGAACAAAACCACAAAACCCAGGGCAGTTAATTTATCAGAGGACCAATTTCACACACGTCACGCCAGTTACTATCGACACTTTGCCAGACACCTAAGTCATGTAACCAGGATAGCCATTTCTGGTTATTCATTAATGTGCTTGCGTGCACCACTTTAATTTGATCACGTCCCCCGAGTCATCAAGACATTATGAGGCCATCCAATCAATAAGCATCTATGTGTTCGCGCTGTGCTGAGCAAGTAGAAAGCACAGCATCTGTCAACATGGGCAGCCAAACTGCCATTCTCCCAACATGGCTCAATTTTGAAGGCTTCTGTTGTGAATTACATATGTACAATATGTAGGATGCTGCACAGTTTCTCAGACATTCACATGACAACTGTTGTCATTGGATTTAAGGATTCCTTCCCAATGATTGTACGCAGTAGCAACACTTACCGGTATTCTTGTGGGAGTTGTTGTCATGCCAGTTGTATGGCTAAGTTTTGTTGCCTGAATTCAAAGTCTTCATTGTAGCGATGCATTCACCTCAGCGTACACCGTTGTGACTTCAAAAGAGCTGCGTTTTTTCTACAGAGTCACTACTCACAAGTGCCCTTTCTAGCCGTTGTGCATAATTTATGAAATTCTGGTCTATTTTCTCTCAAACTGTGTCCAAAACTGCAAAAGTACCCTTTCTTGGATTGAATGAAATTTTTCCAGGTACATACATGCACTTGTATACCCAGTACATGATGCCCATCATATTGTTTATTATGCCTGCGGTATACGGAGGGGGAAGGGAAATCCCAGCCAGTTATAAGACCGTCTTACTAATGGAGTTTCATGTATGTGTGTGTCAACCCATCTGTTTTTTTTAGGGGGGGTGGATCTTTGTTGTTACACAGAACCTGTTACCAGCAATTCACATACATGAGACTCTCAGTTGACTGATATTGTCATCTGTCTGTGTTGACAAATGTACTGTGTAGGCAGCTCTAACATGTTTAGACGTTACCACATGCAGGATTTAAGTGTCGATTCTCGGCTCCTTGGAAAATTGGGGGAAATTGAAAAATTCTGAAATTTGTACATGTGGTTGTTAATAGCTTGACCAGGCATACATACATGTACCGGTATGTATGCCAGTACCGATAGGTTGTGGCATTTACAATGTACCAAGTATCTTGATACTGCCACATGTATGCATCTTTTGATGATTAGTATTGCAACTCATCCTGATGCCTTATCTTGTTGTCTTAATATTTCTTGTTCTCCTTCATGCATTTATTTTATTTATTTATTCTGGCAAAAAGACAATTTATGATGAAAGTCACAATACAAAAACACAAAAATATTAAGAATAGTAAAAGGCAGAAGCTAGGGATAGCCCAAGAAAGCTGTAATAAACAGCTTATTTCCATTGGGGTCCTCACAAAAAAGAAAAACATTTATACAATACTAAAAATATTAAAAAACACACAGGTGGATAACAGATTTTTTTGAAAATGTGTAAAATTTTAAAAAATAACCAACAAATTTAAAATTTAAATTTTAAAATGCATGACATTCTTTCTGGCTCAGAACCTCAGGTTTATGGTGATATGCTACATGTATGCCAGGACTTGTGTATGTGGTTTCATTAACCCAACGATCGTAGCTCTGTGAATACCATGAATAGGCAAAGATCGGCTTTCTTCTCATTGAGTGAAGACAGTACTCTGTGCATGGTCTTATGGGGACAAAGGCCAACAAGTCATACTTCTTTCTTTTGCATGGCATTTGAAAATAGGATACATAGGTAGGAACTTTGTTTTCTGTTTTCTACACTGATTCATTATGTACCCTTTGTGTATTATGGCCATTCTATAAATTCTGGGTCCAAAAGTATGACATTTTCGTGCCGTGTCGTGACACCTGACCTGTGTAATTTGACATGGAAATTTAATTGAAATTGATTTCGAACCATTTCTATTTGTTTGGCAAGTAATTTGCATTAATTCGTCACTCTTGGAAATTAGAGAATGTATTCTGAACTTACAAAATCATGTAACAGGGACACAAAAATAGACCCCATAGAACAACCCATTAACTGATTAAACATAACAAGAGAAGCTGGATGGCTCTTATTTCAAATGAAATGAAAATGGTACACTCAGTTACATGCATGTAAATATCTGTTGACCTTTTCGTACCATATTTAAACTACCGGTACTTATGCAACGTGTGTATTTTTCTGTTCATTTGTTTCCATTTACAAACATTGCGAAAAGGTTATACCCAAAAGACTATAGGATCATACCATCAAAATGGGTACGAGGAACCTTAGGTTTGGAAACAGGAAACATAACCCTTTTATAAGGACTAATGTATCACCGATCACCGTGCAGCAAGTACCAATTATTGTAATTTTCGTAATTCAATGATGTGTCGGAAGAGCACATTACGTGAATTACCTTTTCGTAGAGTGTATTGTAAAAGCTCATAACTTCAAGTTATTGTGGATGCGCTTTAACCTACAGCAAGCCTGACTGCCTCTGACATTATAATCCTGACATCACCCTAGAAACGAGCCTTCGCATTCTAATTAATGGACACTGTAGCATTTCTAGTAGGGATACATGGGCACTGGATCTACGCATGTTGAATGGATACAGCAGTGCGGACTCAAACAGTGCAGTGCTCATGAATGTCATGTCATTTTATTTATGCTTGGCCAAAACCAGGCACATGTATAAGGAAGCGTGAAATTGAACCTTTATCCTGGTTAACAGTTCATCACTGACGAGTGCTTCCCCCTCCCCCAGAAAAAGTGCCTCCTCCACCCTGGAAAAATTACAAGTATTACCCATTCTAGCAGCTCACATTGTGAAGTGGCACATATAGGTACCAGTACATGTGTGTAATAATCAGAGAGATACTTGTTAAAATAATGCAGTAGTGATAGTTCTCAAATGTCATGCAGTTGTACTTAATTTCCAGAAATTAGGGTTCCATTTTTTTCGTGACCCTGTCTTATCTGACATATGATTTCATAAGTTCAGAACATTTTCTAATTTCCACATTTTCTAATTTATGCAAGTTACCTGCCAAACAAATAGTAATTGTTTGAAATCAATTCCGGTGATATTTCCATGTCAAATAACAGAGGTTACATGTAACAGAGACACAAAAGTGTCACACTTTTGGACTCCTAATGTCTGGAATTACCTTTATACATGTTCATACATGTACCGTTAAATGCAGACATGGATTTGACCTTATTCCCTGTGTGCGCACGTTGATCTAATTTCACCCAAAACTGCTGCTTGTGAAGGTTGTTGACAAGGT